GGAGACCCTGGGAAAGGAGTTCTGAAGCAGGTCCCAGAAAACTGGGCCAAAAGGGGCAAAATCAAATCAAGGTAACAGCTGCCTTGCCGGCCCCCCCCCCCGTGTTTTTCCCCCGGTGTCTTGTCCAGGGGTCTCTACTCGTCTCTTCTCGTGTGTCTCCTTCCTATCTCCTTTCCAGCCGAAACAGGGTGCAAATCGGGTTGCAGAAGCAAGAGCTCGCTCTTCCTTAGCGCCCCAGCTTCCCTGTCAGGTAGCTTCACCTGCCTGCTCAGCCCCACCCACCCCCACCCCCAGAAGCCAGTCTCAGGTGGTTCATGAAGTTGGGGACAGGGAGCATGGTGCCTCCTAACAGAAGGAAAAAGAGGTTTCTCGGCTAGGAGCAAAACTAATCTGTCATTCAATAAATCTCCTCGGTATGTCAGTCAGGGCACAAGGGAAATCATCCCGTACCCCTCTGGGTTCTCTGATGCTGACAAATAATCAGACTGATAAGAGAAAAAGCTAAAAAGCAGTTTGGTAATGATGTGTAGACCTTGTGTGTACTGGGGGGCCCAGCGTGACTGAGTCACTCACCTGTGTGGCTGCCCATGCTGTGTTCAGTAGCTTAGCTAAGACGAGGTTGCTGAAGAAGGGGGATTCTGGGAGAGCATTTACTGGGGAAGGTACAGCCGACCACGGTGGCAGACTTCAGTTCTGCCTTCTCACTGAAAAGAGATAAGGAGAGCAGGCTTTCCGGGGAGAGCCCCTTTCAAAGAGAAGCTTTCAGATAAATATCAAAAGCAAGTTCCACCCAACTTTCAGAGCCCTCCTATACAACTAACCTCTTGCTGAAAAGCCATTTAAATTGGGGTGCAGATTTTTGCTCCCCTCCCCATGCCTGATGTGCCCTCCATCAGTAAGCAATAATTTACGCAGGTGAATCCTCACTACGTAATTGTGAGAAGTTCACTCGGGAAAAGCATCAGAGACCAAAATTCTCGGATTGAGAGATCTAACTGGCTTTATTAAATGATTCTTGAATTAGGCAACGTCCTTTCTAGATGCTGCAAGGGAGTTACACAAATTGAGAGTGTTTGTAGACAGAAAGAGGGTGGGATAAGGCATTGAGGAAAGGAAAAGGTGATTTCGGGTTAAACTACTTTCCCTCAGGCGGAGGCAAAGGTCTTATCAGCAAATGACCACCCTGGGGAGAGTTGCAATCTGCCAGAGGTGTTAAGTCTAGCTGGAGACACAACATCAAGGATGCCATCTTGGACCTGTTCTTTCTGTCTGTTTGGTTTTTGTTTGTTTTTTAAAGATTTGTTTATTTATGTATAGAGAACCGGGGTACTGACCAGAGGTGCTGGGCAGTGAGAGGATTCACCAGAGACAGAGCGGGGAGCAGAACAGGCGGACTGAGAAGTACACTGCTAAGGGAGCAACGGGCGGGTGCGCCCTGTGGGTCATCTCCGGGGCGGGGCTTGAACTCATGCTGCAGTGCGTTAGCACTGCGCTTTAACCCACTGCACCAGCAGGGAGGGCCTTTTTTTTTTTTTTTTTTAACAAAAGCAAGTGCAGTAGAAGAACCTAATTTAAGTTGAAGCCTGGAAAAACGGCATTTATCTTAACTTACAGGAAATGAAGTTACCCACGAGCTAGGCAGGGAAGACTTGTACATACCATATTTAAAAGATGTACGTTTGCATTTTATACCCATATAATCCTTGTTATAACCATGTAATCCATACCATGTCCATATAATCTCTCAGAGTACACACCTGCCGCATAAAGAGAAGGCTTCTGAGATGCCGGTGACGGACATTCCCCTGGGGCACAGCTCCCCAACTCCTGACTCCAGCCTGCCTCCCCACCCAAGTGTATCTTTTAGCTCACACAGTGTCAAAATGTTTTGCAATTAGTTTCCCATTAATTTTATTTTTTTTAAAGATTTATTTATTTGTGCATACAGACTGGGGTACAGGCCAGAGATGAGGGGGCGATGAGAGGATTCACCCGAGACAGAGCGGGGAGCAGAACAGGCAGATTGACAAAGTACACTGCTGAGGGGAGCAGCGGCGGGTCAGGAGAGGTCTGCCACGCCATGTGGTCACCTCTGGGGCAGGCGGGGATTGAACTCATGCGGAAGTGGCTTAAGCTTCTCAGTGCTGTGCTTTAACCCGCTGCGCCACCAGGGAGGGCCCTCCAGTTAATTTTAAATTAGGAGGATTTCACATTAAACGTCATATTTCCAGCTTCTCCAGGGAATAAAAATGGGAATCTGACCACAGAGCTGACCACAGGTAACTAGAACTTCTGACAGCCCATACAGCACCTTGGCAATAGCAGCCTTTCCTCAAAACCTGCCACAGACATCTTCCAGGAAACTCTAAATGCTAAATACCTATGTCTCTGGAGTGAGTGATGTCCATGGACGTAGTGTGTGTGTGCAGTGCATAACTGTCCTCAGTCACCCCAGTGCAGCCATCTGTAGGAACCGGGTTGGGGTTACTCCCTTTCAAAGGCAGGCGCTCACAACCTGCCACAGTATTCTCTCTTCCCTTTGGCCTGTTTCCCTCGGTGATATTACCTGACTCCTGGTTGAGTTTGATAGCGATATCCTGATAATTACCTGAGTCCTGATTGCTCACTAACCTCTCACTTTAATCTGCAGATATGAAGTAATTCACCAAGGTCCCTCAGTAAGTTAGTGGCCAGTCTCTTAGAAGTCTCCAGAGCGGGTCTCTTCTGGCCACACTGCCTGCCTCCCTCAACAGATGGTCCGAGGTTGTTGGGCTGTTTCTGGCCTGTTGGTTGTGGAAGAGCGTGGGTCCATCTCACGGGCAGTTAGGCAACTTTATGACTCTAGGAAGAAGGAACAGGCCACGTTCGAGAAAGCTGAACATTGAGTTGCCTCTGCAGCTGCAGAAGACTAATTTCTGCATTGATATCTTGCAAAATTAACAGCTAGAAAACACTACTCAACTCATTTTTAAAATATTATATTAAAAAACACTCCACACATTATTTATCTTCTTGAAGTCCCAGTCTCTTCAAACACGGTTCTAATTTTAGATGGTGTCTTGCAAAAACAAAGTGGCCTACTTCCAGGCCACCAGACACAGACTCCCGTGCCTCCTTGTTCCTGTCCACATGCAGCCAGGCGTTTGAGCGAATTAAAGCTGAAATATAAGTGCCACTTTTTTCATTTAATGTAAGGGGTTCTAACAGGATGTAAGCAGAACCACTTGAAGGATTTTCCTAAAAATCCAGTGCCTGGGCCACAGCCCAGACCCACCGAAGTAGGCGCTTCTGGGTTGGGGCCTGGGAGTCTGCATTTCAGTTTTCAGGTGATTGATGTGCACCCCTCTTAAGACCCACTAAGTATTAATACTGTGGTATATGTCTTCTTTTTAATGTATGATTTTTTTATCCATGCCTTTTTCCCTTTTTTTTATTTTTGAGTAGAAGATCTGGGGTGTAGGCCTGAGGGGTGCGGGTGGCAAAAGGACTCACCAGAGACAGAGTGGGGAGCAGAACAGACTGCTGAAATCCACCGCTGAGGGGAGCAGCGGGAAGACAGGAGGTCTGCTGCGCCCTGTGGGTCACTCCCTGGCCGGGGATCAAACTCAGGGGTAGCAGTGATAATGCCGGAGCTTAACCCCTCGGCCACCAGGGAGAACACTTGCATGTCTTTTCTAAGATACTAGAGGAGCTTCCAGGAAACCTGCTTTCATTCCTGTCTACAGTGTCTCTAGCCATCAACCTGCTCCTGGGAAATTATGGGCATAATTTGATTTAAAAAAAATCTTCAAAAATGCACATTTTTACTCTTTTGTTTTTAGGCTTAACTCACTCCCATTTATTAAACAGGTTTATGTTTACCAGTTTATATATAAGCCACTGGGCTACATGCTACAAGTTAGAAAAATAGTCAGACACTGATTTTATTCCTTTGGGTTTTTTTTTTTTGTTTGTTTTTTGATGAAATGGCTGTAGACTGATTATTGTCTGAA